CAGAAATTATAATTTATATATATATATATATATATATATATATATATATTTATTACATAAATAATTACAAAGCAACTGCACATAGTACACTAAATTAAATGTGAAATTTTGAAGTAGAAAGACTCAAACAGTATTTTCTTGTAAAACATACTCCAATAATCTTTGTTTTATTTATAATAATCTTTGTTATATTTAAAATCACTTTTAACAGTTTACATAAAACCCCGTTTATCAGTAAATGATGAAGAAAGGCCTTCTTTAGGGATCTTTTTTTTTTTTTTAAATGCATTAAATCAAACCCAGGCAGAACATTGAACAAAAGTAAACTCAGTGGTGAAATGTAACTGTTATTAATCATAATTTAAGAGTCAATTAAGTGTGAGGAAAGTAATTTTATTACTTAATTATAGCAGATCTGCATTAACTTTCGAGATGTGGTGTGTTTTGATGTTGAGCAATATAGATGTTTTTAATACAACAAGAAAAAAAAAGTTATGAAAAGTTTGAGCAGATTTTATATGTTCTCAGCTGTTATGCACCTGCCAATTTATTAAGAAAAATGACTGGTGTTTCTTCATGTGTTCGTTTTATTAATCAAAAATATACTATAATTACATAACCTATAACAAAAACTATAGCATAGTTCTTAAAATCTGATAGGCCCTTGATATATCAGATTGCAAGAAACCTGCATAAGAGGAATGACCCACTACTGCTAAAAGCCAATGTATGCTGATACTAAGAGGAAATTTGATTCCCTAATTAGACAGCACAGTGGCAGAAGCCATCGGTGATTTCCAGTTGGGAGTGAAGAGCCTCATAGCACATCTGCAGAACCAAAGAAAGGGAGAACAGAGACTGAGCTGGGAGCCTCTTTTACCCACAATACCCTTCTTCTGCTGCCCATCTGCTTCCACTCAGGGTAATGGAGTGTTATAGGGCAGTGGTGGCCATTAATTCTGCATGGACAATTTAACATCCCAAGCGGGCGGTCAAAATTGAGAATGTGTGAAGGGTTCTACCCTATAAAAGAAAAGGGTGAAAGATGTCTCATCTCAACTTTATTCATTCATTCTGATTTATAGTTCAATTCGATTCAAGTTTATTTGTATAGCGCTTTTCACGATACAAATCGTTGCAAAGCAACTTTACAGAAAATTAAGTTTCTACACTTATCAGTGGTGACTATCAGTTAATGTACATATGGCAGAAATGTACGGAAAAATCAATTAAAGACGTCATCAAACAGACGATGAACACTATTAACAGCAATTATTATATGATGCAATCAAACTTATAGCAAAATTTTGTAGTTCTGTATGTTGTTTCATGGTTGGTATCATCTAAGGTCCTCTGAGGGGTTGGCATCATCTCTTCGTAGGTGTTCTGGATCCAGACTGAAGATTGTGTAAATCCTAGTTACAAATGGAGACATAATTAGTGTAGCTGCTGTTCCAACCAAGCAATAAATAATATATTAAAAATAATAATATATTCAAATATAAATAATTCACCAATAAAATATAAATAATAATATAATAAAACACACACACATATATATATATATATATATACAGTATATACATACATACAGATCAAATCAACTACATTAAAAAAAACTGACGATAGAGCAATATTTTTTGATTAGTTAGCACTTTTAATTCTGCAATGATACGTTATTTATACTGAAATATAGCTATATTCTTTGTTTAAAAAAAAGGTTTATAACGTTTATGAACAAATTTTAATTTTGCCAATGAATAGGAAAAATGTAATTGTTCATTAACTTAATGTGTTTTACGGATAAATAACACACTCAAGAAATATTTACTTGTTTTTTTAATGATTTTTTAGTTAAAGGGCTCATATGATACGATTTCAATTTTTCCTTTCTCTTTGGAGTGTTACAAGCTCATGGTGCATAAAGAAGATCTGTAAAGTTGCAAAGACTAAAGTCTCAAATCCAAATATGATCATATTTTCTTGACCTGGTAAGGACTCTAGCCGCTGCATTTTGGACTACCTGTAGCTTGTTTATTGAAGATGCAGGACAACCACCTAACAGTACATTACAATGGTCCAGTCTAGAGGTCATGAATGCATGAACTAGCTTTTCTGCATCACAAACAGGTAGCATGTTTCGTAGTTTAGCACTGTTTCTAAGATGGAAGAATGCTGTTTTTGTAACAGGGGAAATATGATTTTCAAAAGACAAGTTGCTGTCTAATATAACACCCAGATTTTTGACTGTAGAGGAAGTAACAGTACATCCGTCTAGTTGCAAATTGTAGTCCAAGAGATTCTGTGTACTGTTTTTTGGTCCAATAAGTAATATCTCTGTCTGAATCTGAATTTAATAGGAGAAAATTATTGGTCATCCAATCTTTTACATTTTTAACACACTCTGTTAGCTTAGATAATTTAGAAGTTTCATCTGGTCTTGTTGAGATATATAGTTGAGTATCATCAGCATAACAGTGGAAACTAATCCCGTATTTTCTAATAATATTACCAAGGGGCAACATGTATATTGAAAATAGCAGAGGACCTAGAACAGATCCTTGTGGCACATATAGTATATGTTTGGGTCAAATAATTCTTAAAATATTAAGAGGAGCTTTAATTTTGACCAGGTGGTATAGGTAGGAGAGTTGGAGGGTTATCCTTTCGTGGCTGTCAAGTGTGAATGACCAATCAAAGGTGATTTTATTCACACAAACAGCATGTAGATTGTGTATCCATTCAGTTCCATCCAGTATAGCTGTGGCCAAAATGGTTCCATATTCCAAATATGCATTTTGTATTCAATACTTAGGGTATAGTGAAAAGAAAGGGACTGACGGAATGATTTTGGACAAAATAAATTTAAAGCAACAACATCAACAAAAGAATCATCAGTTATAAATGCTGCTTTCAATACACTAGCTCAACAGCATCATTTCAGGGTATAAGCAACAGTAAAATTATATTATATATATATA